GGCAAAGGCTTGGATTGTTTGCGAGTAAACAAGTTATTTCTATAAGAAAACAGATTTCTATTCTCGCTGCCGAAACTTTTTCTGATGTCTTGTCCCTTTCTGTGAAGAATTTTCAGTCACGATAGTATTTGAAAACGCTCTTCCCAGCAAAATGCTCATGTTTAATCGATTCAGTCACGTTCGCCTTTAGATCGCAAAATCATTTGGCAACTCTCAAGTGAATAATGTTCATTTTTTTTTCTCAACATCCTCTTTTCAGATCAGAGACTTGACTACAAGAACCGTCCTTCAATCTCGCCATCATCATTCTTGTTGTTATCATTGAGTATTGAACAAAGTCTGTTCGTCCTCACATACAGACATTCGTCGAAAGGTTAAGCTTTTTGACTCAGCATGCATCCATGGCAGTCATCGAACGCTTTTGCCTCTTCATCTCACACATTGCTCTATAGTCCGAAAGTTTTTGCTGTGGCTCGTACACATTAAGGCCACCTTCAAAAATCGATCCCAGGCCAAGAACATCCAAATTGCATAAAACTTGCAAAATATGTTGGAACTGGTGCGGGAAGGCTATGGTAAAATTTCCAACCCTATATCATGGCGTTTGACAGAGATATCGACCAAACAAGCGTTAAACATAGCTAATTTCATCTGCAAGAATTCTCTGTCGGCCTTCAATCTATATATTTAATTTTTTTTGTTTGAAAGAGCATGTCAGAATGCAGTGCCCATGGAAGCCATTTTTTTAAACTCTTACTTTTTAGAGGAAAAAAAGGAATGAAAGTTCAATGACTCAAAAAGCTCTCAAAAAATGGCACTCCAATTATATGAATGTTTGTACATATAATAAAAGCAAAGCTTAATCAAAAAACAAGCTCTCATAGGGTACCGCAGTTTTATACACTCTTTCAAACAAAAATGAAACTATTGGCTCAGAGTTGTAACCGGACTGGCAGACCGGCCGGTCCGGTAAAAGATTTCTTACCGGCCGGTAGAACCAACTTTTTCTTTACCGGCCCGGTCTGAATTTTTTTTGAATTTTTCCCTATTTTTTTCCGAAAAAATGATCAATAAATGTGGAAACCTCGGATTTAAATCCGAGCGTTATGTGTACTTCAAAAAGTGAATGAGACAAATCAGTCATCCTAGAATGTGTGGATATATAAATTAGCCTGGCAAACCTTTTCTATAAACACTTGAACTCTATTGGCTACTGCTTAACCAATAGGATTTGGGGTGAATACAGCTCAGATCGGGACTCTTCGCCTTGATTTACCCTCAGAAAGTCGTTTTTCCTGAAACTTGATTTCTATTGGTCAGTGTTAAACCAATAGGGCTTCGAGACAAGTGGAGTACAGATTCGAGTTCTCCGTCCCAGAAAACCTTCAAGTGTCACCTCTGTGATGGTAAGATAGAGGTCTAATTGTGGATCAATTCGAGCGTGGACAAGAACAGAACCGATTTCCGTTTATTTATCTTTGCAATAGGTGAGCTAGCCTCCTTGTTTCTTAATGTTTTATATACCATTTTGTAGCTCGTGAAATTCTCTATCGAATGGTATATAATAGTTGGGGTTTTATTTGACTATGATAGGAAAAGTTTTTTATGAAAGCGGGGATAGGTCGATTTTCACATAAGAGGCCATAGGGAAAAAGGAGTATTTTTGCAATAACTCACGAACAGCTAGGCCAATCCTTCTCATCTTCGAACTCGACCGAGACATTGTTAAGACTAAACTGTGTCGAAAATTTCATCGCGATCGGACTCTACTTTCAAAAGTTATCATGTAAACGGCCGGATGACCGGACACCCTGACCGATTCTAGAGTGTACTCACTTTTTGAGTACACAAAAAGGTGGTTTTTTTCGAAAATCAAAAACTTTTTACTAACGTCGAAGACTATTTTGGTAAAAAAATTGTATCAAACTATCCTATTGAGTCAAAATTTATCATGAATGTTTTTATATTTATCCAATCCATGTGGGTACGACGTTCTGCTAATATAGTTCAAGGAACGACATTTTATCATTTAAAACAGTTTTTATTGGCCAAAACTATCGTTTATCATACCTAAACGTCGTTTCAAAAAAGAAAATAGCTGGATATTGACCTTCGTAAACAGCACAGAAATGTTATTATGTGTATATAAGCTCGAATGCATACAGAAACGTTTTCGTAGCGTTTACGAAGGTCAATTTCCAGCTATTTTCTGTTCTGAAACGATGTTTAGGATTGATAAACGATAGTTTTGGCCAATAAAAACTGCTTTAATCGACAAAGTGCCGTTTTCTGAACCACATGGGTGTTGTTCAAATAAAATCAAATGATTAATTGTTTAGCATTGTAGTTTATCATGGATTTATTTTGTATTTCCTATTATTTATTGCATATATTTCTCACAGACACGGAAGATGACAAAGCGAGTATAGCATACGAGCAATAAATAGAGCCCATATTTGATGAATAGTTAATCAAAGTGCAAAATTAACATAGAATTTACGGTCGTATGAACTTTTGTGCTCACCAATAGATATCGAGAAACAGAACACATACGAAAGCAAATAGTCAAAAGCACTGCAGTGGCAAAATAGTACTTTTATATCATAGCTGTAGTGATTAGAAAGAATGTATGACTCATCTGGGTGTTGATTTGAGTGTTATAGGGTCAGAAAACAGAAGAATAATTTGAGCAGTCATCCTATTCCGCTAAGTTGAACATTCCGGAACCAGTTCCAACCCCGGAATCGTTTCCCGCGATTCTGGAATCGAATACAAACCGAGTTCGCAACAATTCCTAGGAATTCCGTTTAATTCCGGAATTCCCCAACTAAACAACACCGGAATCGGTGGGAATTGGTAGGAATTCCGCCCAATTCCCTCTAATTCCGGAATTACAACTTCTGTTTTTATTCCATCACTCTTTATCGATGTAATAACCATCCGAGGGTGGATGTGGGGTGGTGGGGTAGGGTGTGGGTGTGCGTGTGCGTGTGGATGTGGGTGTGGGTGCTTGCGTGGGTGGGTGTGGGTGTGGGCGTGGGTGTGGGCGCGCGTGTGCCGGTGTGTGATGAGAAGATATCCACACCCACACCTACACGCTCAACCTCTCCCACACCGCACAACCACTCTCGCACTTACACCAACATCCACACCCCACATCCACCCACACCCACACCATCCACTTATAAGCCTTAGCCGATGAGAGTGATACCAAGGTTGAGCGATTCCGGAATCACGAGGAATTCCGCAGAATTCCGTCCAAATCCTTGCAATTCCGGATCCGTATGATACCAGGAATTCCGTCCCGGAATTGCATCCAGTTATAAGTGTCAGCGTATGACCATGCTACGAAGGCTGAGCGATTCCGGAATAACTAGAAGTTCCGCGGAATTCCGGCCGAATCCTAGGGGGTTCCGGATCCGTATGATACCCGGAATTTCGTCCCGGAATTACATCCAGTTATAAGCGTCAGCCGATCCCTATGCTACGAAAGCTGAGCGATTCTTGAATCACTAGGAATTCGGTGGAATTCCGTCCAAATCCTTGCGATTCCGGATCCGTATGATACCCGGAATTAGATGCGGTTATAAGCCTCAGCCGATGAGAGTGATGCCAATGCTGAGCGATTCCGGAATCGATAGGAACTGTTATAAATGATTCCGGAATCGGATTGTGGCGTGGTTGAATTTAGTTCCGGACTCGGTGGAATTGATTCCGGAATGTTTAACATCGCGGAATGGGATGTATTCTCAATAATGTATACCGGTATACCGGGCGGTCCGGTCCGGTGTGACCAGTTAGACCGGTACCGGTACCGGTAAGGAAAAACCCTACCGGTTACAACTCTGTATTGGCTACAACGAAGCTTCTTCGAGAATTCTTGGAGATGCGATTGAAAACCTATAAAAACAGAAAAAGAGAAAAAGATTTCCGATTTTTTTCCGACAACAGCGTATTTTTCGAACAGGGGTTGACGAAAATCTTCAAAAATGTTTGGAAAAAACGAGGTGCCGAGTAAAAATTTGTGTTGTTTATGAGAGATCAGACCACGAACTATCTTTCCCTGTATCTATATTAATTTCGATCATTCTGACTAAAAGTGACTGTTTTGAGGGCGGGATGGCGTTAAAAGTACCCTAAAACTTCATGATACTCTCTTGGAATATTAGCAGACCTCTGAAGTTTTTTACTTTTCCTCTCACCTAGAGGTGTAAGCCGTACGGCTGAGCCGTCGCCACAGCCACCAAATCATAGATAATTTTAAGAATCTTTCAGCAGCCACCGCTGTGAAAAAACAAGTTTAGCCGCTTCGCCGCCGTCACGAACGAAAATTTTTATGACGGCATGAGTCGCCGCCGCTGACATCCATACATATGCGATCGACCATTTTCTGTTATTTTTCATCAGTCGAATTTCTAACCATAGGGATTGAAATAAATAGGAATTTATTATTCTCGAATGAATACTACAATTTTAGACTTGGCAGCCGCCGTTGCTGCACAAAGACTTATAAATATCAGGCAGTGCCGCCGCTGAAGAGCCTGCAAGATCGAATCGGTAGCCGCTGGAAATTCTCAAAAATTGAAAATTTTTGCCAGTCGCCGTTCGATCTTTCGCCTTACACCTCTATTCTCATCGATTCCAGAGAGATCGAAAACTATTCCCGGTCATACACAGATATGAGTCATTACTACGAAGTTTTTCTCGGGCATCTAACAGAGTGTGGGTGTGGTTGTTGGCATATGTTATTCTTTACTTACCCATCTACACCTACACCCACAACCTGTAGAGTATTGGAACTCAAACTAATCGAATTAATTTACTATACACTATTGGAATAGTTTATTCGTGTGTTGCAATTCAATGTTATCAAGATTCAGTTGTTAATTTTATTGTCAAAGATATTTGCATCAAAAGAGACTGTATTTTTTTTTCTTTATGAGCTGGATTTCTTTTATTTAGTCAATAAATATGAATCGACTTATCATAACGCATGCTTTTTAATTAAAATTAACGTTCATAGGTGGTTTCTGGAATAAATTACGGATATATGCGCGTTCATTAAGTGAAATATTATTATAAGCGGCATAAAAAGTGTTTAATGATCTCATATTTGTCATTGAGAATGGAATATGATTCAGTGGATTATAGGTGATTGTCATTCGCGTTAATGTCGGTGATAGTTTCATGATTTCAAGTGGAATTGATGAAATTTGATTATAATCTAATTCTAACCGTTGTAAAGATTTATGTTTTCCAATACCATCAATGGATGTTAATGAATTATTACTAAGATAAAGTTCACGAACATAAACAAGTGGTGGTTGAAAAATATTTCCTTGAAGTTTATTATTCACCAAATTAAGAATCCGTAAATTAGGCAAATCAGTTGATAATGTTAATGGTAATGTTGATAATTGATTTGATGTCATAACTAATTTCCCTAAAGATTTTAATGTTAAAATACTTTCAGGAAATGTTGTTAATTGACATCCAGACAAATCAAGATTTGTTATTGATGGTACATCAACAAATGAAATAGTTTTCAATTGAGGACTCGTTTTAATCGTAACAGTTGATAATACTGGTGTATTTTCAAATGAAACCAATTCAAGATTTGATAATGAATATAATTCAAAAGTATTCAACTTAGAAAAGCTTTTTAATATAATACTTTTTAATTGTGCACTATCTGTTATTGATATTGTTGAAATAGCAGATAGATTTTCCATATCTAAAGAAATTAATTTTGTATTTGATGGAATTGATAATGATTGTAATGAAGACAAATTTTGCAATTTTAATGTTAATAATTCATTATTATTTCGAATATCAATTGAATACAATTTTAACATATTTGTAATTTGAACTGTTTTTAATATTGAATTAAATGATATTTTTAAACCATATAAACTCATTAAATTGTCTAATGATAAATTATTAATATTCGTTTTAGTTATTTCTAATTGTTGTAATAATTGAAAATTATTCATTGTTGATGGAATATTTGAGAGATTTGGTAAATCAATTAAATTTAATCTATTAAGATAAATTAATTTACCAATACTTTCATCGGGTATTTTATTAAAATTTGGCATGTTCTGTAATGTTAATGATGTTAAATCAATTAAATGTTCAATTTCATTAGGTAAATCTTCAAGGTTTTTAATATTAGATAATGTTAAATCTGATAAAGATCTTAATTGTCCGAATTCAGATGGTAAATGTTGATCAATAATACCATTATCTGTTTGAATTAATAATGATGTTAACTGTTGAAAATTTTTTATATCAGGTAATATTGTTAAATTTGTATTTATTAATTGAAGTTTTTGTAAATTTTTCACACAAAATATACTTGAAGATGGATTAGCATCATCAACTATACTAAGCTCCGTAACTTTTAATGTATAATCATAAAGAGCGGATGTACGAGGATAAGAAGCTTGACTGCGTTCAACATAAAATGGATTCATATTGACAGCATCGAGATCATTATCATAGATGGTACAATCAATTTCTGCATTGCTACCTAAATTAAAAATAGAGGAAAAATCAAAATTTTTCTTTTTCATTAGAAAAATTATTTTACTTTGAATATTGATGGATGTGAGATAAATAACGAATAATAATGAAAATATTTTCATCATTCTAACTATGTTTTGCTTTGAATTTTATTCAACTGTTATTTATGAAAATCAAATACCAGATGTTGGTTTTCTCATTGATTATTTACCTCGTAATTTATTGATCAAAGTTAGCAAAGCTGATTAAAATCCCAGAAGCGCAAAAAGAAACCAATGCAATCATTATTTTATGATGACAAAGCTAAATAACATGCAACTGATAAAGGTAGAAAGCGAATGCATTATCACAATAGACATATAAATTATGGTAGAGTTACAGATTTCTGACAATGAGAATATTTTGTCATTATTAACAACTAATGTAAAATTAAATTTTGGAATATTATTAGATTCAACGCACCATTTAAAATGAATCATATGACAAACACAAAACCTTCTTTACTACTGAAATATATTAGAGTATTCAGACCTTCTCATACTAAGGATCAATCATAAATAGAAATCGACTCTGACTGAGTTTGTTGTAGTACAAATCAGCTCAGATTACCCAAAAACTTCAACAAAGGCTTGATCTGAATTGTGAAATATTTTTTCTGAATTAGATTAATTTGGCAAAGCAATCCTAATTTCAATATATCAAGAAAAAGTTACGTAAGCTCAAGCAAATCTTTTCTGTTTGTTCATTTTATATTTTATATGAATTCTGTAATAAACATACAGTCACAGCATCATGTACTCTTTTTTATTGCGTTCATTGTCTTGATGATCTTAATGCAATTGTTCTTTTCCTTTTGAACGATATTTTATTGACATAATGACTGTCTTCTAATATAGTAAAGATCTGTCTCATACAAATTTTCTTTTTTGTTTATTCAATATACAAGACGTCTCTAAAGTCATGATCACTTTGTAAATGTGCATGAATCTATTACTAATCAAACTTAACTCTTAAAAACTAAATGTCACTCCCAAGAAACATTATGATAATTGATATAAAAAATGTAACAAAACCATATATTGAAAAACGAATAGTTTTTCAGGTTAAGGTAGTATGATAGGTTATAGATTGAAAAACAAAATGCTTTTAGCTGATTTTTAAATCAGACAATTGATTAGTTAAAATTATAAAAAATTTTGTGAATGTAAATTTTTGTTTTGACAACTTCGTTTGTTCATAAGTACAACGTGTAGTTTTGATTTTTGTTCACTTTGGGAACGGCTTGTTTCGATTTAATCAACAATGAATTCTGAGCAATATTCACAAATATATCCCGTAAAAAATAAATTTTGAAATTCTATATCGATGAACCAAAACTTGCTTTAGATTAGTTCATTCAACTAGTGAAACTTACCTTGGGTGCATTGTACTATTGACAAATATCTGTAAAATTAGGCAAGATCATTCTTGTATCTGTTAATATGATAATTGAGTAAAAGACAAGACTCGAATGAGAATGTCGCGTTAGACAAAGTTGTATTACGGTTTCAAAATATTTATCGTACCTTCTATGATTGTTCAAAAGAAAGAACCGAATTGTACAACACATGTCAGATGCGAGAAAATAATTTACATAGATCTTCATATCATGAGATAAAACAATGAATCGTACGTCTGTGCAATATCATCGTTTCTTACTGGAAAGATTCGTTCGATTTAAGACTTTAAATAGCACTTCAGATAATCAAACAGTTCAAAGATTGACAGTCAATTCTCGTTCAAATAACAGTTATACTTTTTCGCGATCAAACAAACTTTTGCTTAACATGTACACTGTAAATTTGTTTTTGTTCATCTCTTAAATGAATCTACAGTGTACTATTCCGATTTATTTATATTATAACGGTATTAGCATGTGCGTGTGAGATGTGGTGTTCTTTCGTAACGTCATCAATACTTATATATCGAGGCTCGGTTTCATTAAAATTCCATCTGCTGCAGCTACCTTGATTAAAGCTGTTATGTAATCTGATATCAGGTCATGGTTAACTATTAAACTATCGATATCGTACTTCTCTTTAAGTATGCAAACGCCACCTTTGATAGTGCGGTCTGTAGGGTCATTGGACATTGAGTTGCTTATGTTGTCGTATTATCAACGATTAATCATTATCAGGAATGCAAACACAATAGCATATAGTCTTGCTTTTCTGTTTTTCTTCCTTTCTCTGTTATCTATTCTTTGTTAATCAATCCATGCCAAAATTGTCTTCAAGACTTTTTACTCATTTCTGTATTATTGTAAGAAGTAAATGTCTTTCTATGTCAAACTATGAGGTAGAAATAGAACAAACAGTATATATATATATATATACATTAATTTAGAGAAATGTATTCCAAAAAAACAAAGAACATCTTATAGAATAATAAATAAAGATACGATTACGGTCTGTAACAGAATTCATTCTTTCCATCTCATCTATCAGTATCAGTCTAATATAATAGATAAATGTTTTGTTTTTGTCCATGCATTACTGTTTCAACACTTGTAGTGTATATTCTGCTCGCTATTGATATATATGTGGTGGAAATTGTAGATAACAAAATCTAGGGTAAAATCGAACAATGAAAATGAATATCATTTGATAGATTGCATTATTATATGATTCTCTGTTTTATTTTCTTTAGTCAGATTCTAATTGTATTATCTACTGATTATCGATTAGAAATCTATATGTATATTATATTTACATGCAATTTCTTCTGTCTTTCTTTAGTTGTTTTCTAATGATAGCAATTTTAAGCTTTTCAAAGCATAAATGAAAATAATCTTTTTTTTTTCGGAACATTTAAAATCTATTCAGTTGTAATACTATATTCACATGTTGCTGATATTTCGTCGATTTTATCTTACAGAAACTTTATATTGAATAGCGTATCACACTATTCAGAATAAGTCAACGATTTAGAGATTCTACGCTGTGAATGATTCATATATGAATGGAATTTTGCAGAAACTTATCTAATGAGCAATAACTAGGATCGACAAAATATCTAATGTATAGCGATAAAAAAACACTGCAACTCAAAATTGGTCGAAATCATAAAATGAGAATTATAACTAATAATTCGGAGTAGCTAAATTAAACGTTGTATTGATAATAAATCAGCTTAAGAGAAAAATTAGATCGGCAACTCATTGTTGATAATTGGGCAATTATACATAACATTTACCATTATTTATTATTATTGAAAAACATTTATACATGGAGAGTAGAGTATATACACTAAAATTGTTGATATCATGATGCATGGATAAAAACAAAACTGTTATAAACCATAATCGTATCTTTATTTATTACTCCATAATATATTCTATGGTTTTTTGGTATGTATTTCTCTAAATTAACGTATATATACTATTTGTTCTATTTCTACTTCATAGGTTGACATAGAAAGATATTTGCTTCTTACAATAATACAGAAATGGGTCGAAAGTCTTGAAGACGATTTCGACATGGATTAATTAGCAAAGAATAAAAACAGAGAAAGAAAAAAAAAGAAAAGCTAGACTATATGTTTCTGTGTTTACATTCCTAATAACTATCAATCGTTAGTAATACGACAATATAAGAAATTCAATGTCAAACGACTCTACAAACCGTACTATCAAAGGTGGGGTTTGGGTACTCAAAGAAGAGTACGATATCGGTAGTATAATAGTTAATCATGATCTGATATCAGATTACATGATAGCTTTAATGGAGGTAGCTGCAGCAGATGGAGTTTTGAGTGAAGCCGAACGTCAATGGATTATTGGTCTCGCATGTGCTATTGGTAAATATCTGTTTATTCTATGTCTACTGATAACTACAAATATTTAACACTAGGATCGCCACAATCCGTAATAGATGAACTTCAAACCTATCAACACAAAGGTATGGATAGTGTACTGAAAACTTTTCATGCTGAAAGTGGTCACAGTAACGGAATACATCGTCAACTGAGCTTAATCTATGATGGATTTCGGGCAGCCGGTGCAGATGGTGAACTTCATCCAAAAGAACTAGCAGCTATCCATGAACTTGCCAAAGCACTTGGTATTGACGAAGCACAAGTAAAGCAATTATATGAACTTTACATAGAAAACCAACAAAATCGTTTGAAACGCTTGAAGATTATTTTTCCGAATGGTGGCAACAATGCGATAGCTGAAGTTGAAAAACTTTATTGAAAAATCTTTCTCATGAATATAGCTTGGATTTCGTTATTTCCTATTAAAGTTGATGTGTTTTATATTCATCCCATCCTCAAGTTTCTTTTTTTAAAATTAATATTACTATTAAATTAATAGACAGCAGAAATATGTATCCAATGTTTTCAATGTATCATCTTTTAAGGAAAAATTCAGAATTTTTTCATCGTAGAATAATATTTCAGGAGAGATCACCTGAACAGAAAGCATGAAATAGACGTTTTGGAGAATTCAAGATCTGCTCTTAAAAAAGAGAAACTAATAGGCAAGGGAAACTACTCGAAAAAAAATTATGTTTACTAAATGTTTGTAGATTGTGAAGCTCTTATAAACGCTTTCACAGACCATGTAAAATTAATCAAGAAATCTTTTAAAATCGATGTGAAAATCAAGATATGATGGTGCATTCAATGACAGAAAATAGCGATTATTCAAGCATATATGACTATGGGTGTGAGTAGAAAGCCAATGAAAAGAACACCTACATCTTCAACAAATTATGTAACGAATGATGATTTCTCTTTCAAAAAGCTATTTGTATTAGTGAAAAAGGACTGTAGCATGATCTTCAGCTCAACAGAAAAATGTCAAACATAATATAAATCGTTTATTAATCGAGCGATAGATCATATTATTTGGTATCTTTAGCGTGAATCTTAGTCATTTTAAGGTGAACATTACACTTAAATTCCGTGGAAATCTTTGATGTGGTGACTGTATGACGAAGGAATGCGTCAAATTTCTTTCTACATAGTTTATCTTTTTCTTACAATGGTACTTCAAAAAACTGTGGGCCGAGCCAAGAATTGAGAATCCGAGATTCGAACTAGGCGAACTGTACTACATGAATATCTTTCTTGTTTATAATCAAATACAGATACATTTACTACACAACCAGCAATCATTTAGACAATTTGAAGAAGAGTTATAAATTGTTGAATAAACAGAGGAAGTCGAACATGAGCAGCTCGTAATGCAAAATAACCGTACATGAATGTAGGGACACAACAATTCATTGATACAAATCAACCAGTAGTCGAAGCAAATAATGCATAGCTTAACCCTTTGAGGACGGAATTTTTTTTAGTCAAAAATTGACTCCCTCATCATTTTGTTTTATTTGATTAAACTCACACGCGAGCAATTTTTGAAACGCATCTAAATTGATCCAAGAATAAAACGCGTTCAAATCTGAAATGCGCTCAGATGCGTTGTTTGCTCGTTCAAACACATCTAGATGCATCTATAAACTGCGTTTAGACGGATTTCTTTCCTACTTTTCTTGACAGCCGCGTTTGAAAGTTACATGGAGAATAAAACTTAAAGACATGTTCAATCTGAGCTAATAATCTGACTAGAATATGAAATGATAAATAAAAAGCTGATAAAATTAATGAACTTCACATTTCATGTTATGATGTTTTTTTCACAAAATTCTATGACATATTTGCAGCAATCTATTCACTTTGAAGTTATCAAGTATTTTTCATGAAAATTCCCACCAATGATTCATCTCCGTCTAAAAAATAAAAATTAAATCTATTTCTGCAGCTTCATACACCGACTGTGTTTGCACTTTTACAAAATATTCAACAATTTTTTTTTCTTGTTCTTTTTTTTTCCAAAACCAGTAGCAAGAAAAAAGCAAATAAGATGAGAGAAATATGAGCGCTTGGGAATAAAATATAATTTACGAGTAGAAGAAATTATGGCAGTAGCTTTTTTTAAAATAAATCGTAGAAAGCGACGTTTTTCTTCTTATTCACAAATATAACTGTCAAAGTCGCGTTCTTCACGCTTCTGTTCCTATGGAATACATGCACATTTGACAAATCATTTTTGTACACACTAGAATGTTTAAGTATACTTTTTTTTATAAATAATTGTTTGTCTTTTTTGTTGATCAATTATACACCAAATGGAATCGAATTATAGAAATTAAGTTCATTTAGTCATTAATTAATATAGATTTATTTTATACTTTTACTGTTTGCATGGCGACTTGTTTTTCTTTTTCCCAATAGTGGGTCGGCATGATATGATGACAATACTGAATAATTAAATCTACATTTTTTCATCGTTTGTTCCACTACTAGAGAAAAGTAAAAAAAATAATAAGAAACGTAGGAAGATATGTAAATAATAAAAAGATGTAAAATTTTATATTAATGCATGACTAAATGAACTGCAGAAGGATACAGTAGTTCTGCGTAACATTTTCTAATAATAAATTAAATAGATAAATAAATACTAACGAAAAATCTAATTATAAAATTCTATAATTCAATTCTACGCGATATATAATTGATCAATGGAGAGAGAAATAATTATATAAAAACAATTGACAATCACTTTTTTTTCAACATTAATAATCTTTGCTTCTATATGGGGCACTAAAAAAGTGTTTTCGTCCGGTTCTCTAAAAAGACTTGACCAAAAACTAACTATACCGCTATAATGCCCAGAGATATTTAAGATTATATGCAAAATTTCAGACTTATAAGTCTTGTGCTTTGTTGTAGTCTATTATTTCTTTTGTACCAGTGAGGCCGATTACATGGTCGCTATTTGTGTATCAATTTTCAATCTTTTAATAAGTTGTGTTAGAACAACAAACTACATCATAAGATGCAGCGTGCAAAGCCCTACAATTTACACCAGACCACTTTTTTTTATAGTTACACGTTTTGCTTTCAAAAGAAAAAAAAATTTTACCAATCACATTCCGGTCGTGCAACAACTATATTTTTTTTACACAAAATGAGCTCTTTTTTTTCTTATCTCATCTTTTTACCACCGAATATGTTTTCTTAAATAAAAACAAAATATGTCGCAAGGTGCAGCATGAAAAGGTGTACAATCTGTATAAGCAATAAAAATGTGAAACAAGAACAAAGAAATTTCTCGTTCGTATTATTTTTTGCAGCGTCGAAATTTGATCGCTCAAAACTTTGTCCATTTTCAGAAAAAAATGTGCAACTATTAAAAATGCAGTCTTATGTAAATTGTAGAGCTTTGCATGCTGCATCTTGTGATATCTTTTGTTTTTTTTAATACAACTTATTAAAGGATTGAAAATTGATACACAAAACGCGACCATTAAACCCCTTATGTATTATATTAGAAATCCTGTATACCTAGTACAGAGGAAATGATAGACTACAACAAAGCACAAGATTTAGAAGTCTGAAATTTTGCACATAATCCTAAACATCTCTGGGCATTATAACGGTCTCTTCTAACAGACCCGGGCGAAAAAACTCTTGTAGTGACCCATGTATTGTGTTACAAGTCACGGTTGAATACCGAGTTTGTAGATAGTTAACTCGTAGTTGACACCAGACTTGCCAAATCTTCCGATATGGCAGGAAAAATTCCGATTTTTGAACTTTATTCCCACGACTTTCCGACGTTCCAATTTTTTCAAAATTTAGGCTTTTTTAGTATTTCAAAATACTTTAAAGATAACTCGCTATTACATTTAAAGCGGTATCTTTTTTTCCTATAGTTATTGAGCGGTACAGTGGCATAAACTTAATAATAGAGACACTTGAATGCTGTAGATACCCTTAGTCATATGAGACACTTATGACCTGGCCAACGTAATCATATGGATGTCGAATTAGTTGCTGCAGAATTGAAAATCAAAATGAATTCTGATTATCCTTGCGAACATTTTTATAAATATATTTTATCTAAATGTGATGTATTGAAGAGAATTCGAGCTAATGAAAAATATGAACAAAAATAAAACGTCGTGATACTGAATAAATTTTAATTATTTTATTCAAATTTCGTGAGATGTATGTGTATATATGAGTTTATGCTTTTGACTCTATTTTTATATGAACTTGATCCTAAACTTTTTGGAAGAATGGCGTGTTTGAGGCTAAATGACTTATGTAGTTTTGCTCATTATGACTGAATTGTATATATATAAATTCATTTTTTCCCTTTTCGACTATGAAATATCTTTTCAGATAGTGTATGGAAAGAAATAAACAGAAACAGGATAAAGCATGCTACCATACAGAAAAAACAAATCAGCTATTTGAGCATTACAAAACTACTTTCCGATTTTTTCCGACTTTTGGAAAAAAATTCTGACGTTTTTCCGATTTTTGAATTTTCCATCTGGCAGCCCTTATTGACACCCTTATTCAGAAAGACAAATGCAAAATCTTCTGAACATTATATGTACTATGATTTTTTGTCTTTATTGATACTAATATAGAATTATTTTGAACTACTTTCTTTTCAGACTTTAAGCCAAGAACACATCCCTATATTTAACCATGTCAAATGAAAAAGGTAAATGTATTTTGTTTTACTTTTTTTATATAATTAAATATCCTCTCTTTACTGATTCAATGAGTGGTAAATTCAACTGGTACTAATGAAAGCATTGAAACTATTGTTTTTTGAATGAAAACTATGGAAAAAATAGTTTTCTATTTTCAAAGAAACAACAATTTCAAATAAGTTAATATTTAATATTTTGATGTCTTTCATAGATTCCTCAAGTTTATTACCATACGTAGAAGCATACAATGGAATAACAGATGATAATTATAAATCCATAATTGAAGCACTAGATATTTGTCACAGTATAGATGATTTTGCAAATATCAATGAACGAATATTCATACAAGACCTAGCACCAATCGGTCAAAATACAGAAGACCCAGCATTAATCAATTGTAATATCGAAGATCAAGAACCAATCGATCGAAATGCAGAAGAACCAACATTAACCAATTGCAATAGACAAGAATCGGAAAATATCGAACAGAAATTAAGTCTAATAACAATCATAACTGATCAGGATATTACTTCACCACATCTATTCAATGGGTTTTCCTGTCTCAGTGATGAGGCAAACAGCACCATTACAACTAGTTTTAATGTATTCGAGTAAGTAAAAAAGGACATAAGTAATTTAATTAGTTGAAAAAATGCAGCAAGACTTTTGGAATATTTATAAAAATTATCGATTTGATATATTTTGTAAAATAAATTTCATCACACAAAAGGAGTTTCGGCTTTTTTTAATACATGTAGAGAACAATCATTTGATGCCCTATGATACATTGAATATAGTAAAGGTTTTTTTTTTTGTTTTATTGTTATATATATAATCCAACAATACTCATATATTATTTATTAGATGTGTTAAAATGAAACCGTCTGAGAATGGTCATTTGCCTGATGATATACTCAAGTGAGTATAATTTTAGTAGATAATACATAAATAACTTGCTTATTTACTTTTTGAAATTGTATGATCTTTTTTTGAAGATTGTTTTCTGATCGAAGTAAACAAGAAGTAGGCAATATTATGAAAAAAGTTCAAGACGAAATCGACAAGATTTGGGCAAAAATAGATAAACAATATGAGAAATGTGTGATGACAAAAAGTATAATTTCAAAGATAGAAAAAGATTTCCCAAAAGCACTTAAAGCGTATTGTATGTAGTAATACTATTATAAAATACTTTTTTGTTCATTCAATCGACCTCTTTATAGTGCTCAAAGAATTTGGTACACAAGTAGATTTGGTAAATGATGCACGATTGATGTTAGAACAATTATCTTTTGGTGGAATTTTCTGCAATACGAAAAATGAGGTAAAAATATATTTTCTCCAAAATATTATTAATTTTCAAGTTTTATTTTGGAAGTTAAATTCTGATTGATTATCAGTTTAGTAGTTTCTATGTTGTAAATTCAGAAATATTGATAGTTTTACTCTTGTATATGAATTACACGTTTAGATATTATCAGTAACAAACCATCATGGAACTTTAAGTGCTGTCAAAGGTCATCCAAAAATCAAGGTTGACGGTACATTGGAAAGTCCATTCGAAACATTTCTGCGGGAATTATTTGAAGAGGTTTCAATTAAACTTAAAAGACGCAAAATTAAAAAA